GGCGGAGGTTGCGGTGAGCCGAGATCGCGCCATTGCACTCCAGCCTGGGTAACAAGAGCGAAACTCCGTCTCAAAAAAAAAAAAAAAAAAAAATGATCATGTATTATTACCACCACTTCATAAAAGAAGAAACATTTTAACCGTCCCCAAAATAGAAAAGACCTAACATCCACTGAAAGACGGTCACTTAAATGAAACAACTTTAGCCTTATCAAAAGCTTTATACCACCGTTATTTTTCTTGTTTTCCTCATGGATTTTAAAGTCACTGATAATGCTGGTTTGCTGAGCATGAACTGCTATGTAAACCATTTTTGGAGAAGAAGAGAGATTGGATAAGAATCAAGAGTTTTTGTATTTTGAAGGATGAAACTGATTTGAGAAAAAACTGGATAAGAATCAAGAGTTTTTGTTTTTTGAAGGATGAAACTGATTTGAGAAAAAATTTAATGCGGGGCATAGTGGCTACACCTGTAATCCCAACACTGGGAGGCTGAAGCAGGAGGATTATTTGAGTCCTGGAGTTCAAGACCAACCTGCGAAACATGGTGAAACCCCATCTCTACAAAAAATACACAGATTAGCTGGATGTGGCGGCATATGCCTGTAGTCCCAGCTACCCAGGAGGCTGAGTTGGGAGGATCGCTTGAACCCAGGGGCTGGGGGTTGCAGTGAGCTTTAATCATGCCATTGCATTCTAGCCTGTGCAACAAAGCAAGACCCTGTCTCAAAAAGGAAAAAAAATATATATATACGGGGTGGAAAAAACAGAGAAAGATGTAATTACTAAATGCAATGCAGTAAGCTGAATTGGACATAAAACAGCAAAAGGACATTGAAAAAACTCATGAAATTCAAATAACATCTATATTTTAGTTAATAATATTGTACCAATATAAATTGCCTCGTTTTTATAAATGTGCCATGGTTATGTGAGATGTCAACATGGGGGAAGCTGGGTAAAGGGCATAGGTAAAGTCTATATTATATTTATAGCACTTTTATAAATCTAAAATTATTTATAAATTAAAAGTTAAAAAAGATAACAGGCCAAGTGATGGCTCATGCCTGTAATCCCAGCACTTTGGAAAGCCGAGGCAGGCTGATCACTTGAGCTCAGGAGTTCAAGACCAGCCTCGCCAACGTGGTGAAACCCAGTCTCTACCAAA